ACTTGGATCTATAAAATTTACTCTTACTATTTATATATTTTTACTCTCTTTGACTTTTTCGATATAGATAGGTAGGTAAGTATATTATTGCTGCCATTAGATATACTATACATTAGATAAATATATATCTCTTTTTTTATTTAACGTGTAAAAATAAGACATCAAATCAATATACAATCTTTGGAATAAATTTAGGTTGCACTTCTACTTGGCACCTTTAATTACTTCTACATATATACAATACGATGATAACATCTTGTTTTCCTTTTATCATTTGTTACTTTTCTTTTATGTGCATATTGTCCATTATAATATATGTAGATGCACATGTCATTATAAGACATGTGTGATGTTATCTCGTATAGTAAAAGCCTTTGTTTGCGATCGGCCAAGTTAGTTAACAGTTATGAGTGGGTGTAAGCATAATTCCGGATATACGTTCGATCACTGATAATTTCCATTCATTAATTTATAATTGAATTTGACATCACCTTGATGACAGTTCTAAATAAATGGACCTTTTGATTATGCAGGACCAAAAATGGGTTTTACAACAGAAAACCGAATTTCAGCATCCGTATCAAATTCAAAACTATCTAAGTTTCTTTTTATAAATATAATTTATGTTTACATAAAAACATATACTTAATTGATATATATTTTTATATGATGAAATTATTTTCTTCATATACGCAGTTATTTAATAAACTAATGTGATTAAATACTAACTAATGATTAGTTTTAATTCAATAACTAATAACTAATGATTAGTTTTACAAAACCGTTTCATTTCATTCCAGAAATAACGAAAATTATTTACATATATTTGGACAATTGACATAGGGCAGATGTTAATATATATAAGTGCGAACACCCTTATCTGCTCCGTAAAGGTTCTCACAGGAGGATAGTTAGATAATTAAATCTATACTTTTTATTAACAATATAAAGAGAGTATACAAACAGGAACATATGCATAATAATATAATGAAGTTGGTTTACTGATTGCATAGCTTGAATAAATGAAATTACAGTATACCTATAATAGAATTTTCTGGAGCACGCACGGTTTTGTGTTTTTCCGGTCTTAATCATTTTCTATTCTGGGTCAGGAGAACTCGGGTGGACTAGTGACGTATTTGCACATGTTAAATTCACGCCCAAGTCAAAGGTACGTCGAGGTTAACGAGACACACCTCACTACTTGCAACCGCTGTGCAAACCACTTTTCTGTTAAGTATTTTATATTACACATATTGAACTTGAATCTCTTTTACATCCTCTTCAGTCACACCACATAAAGAGTGAAAACTTATTTGCCAGTGCCCATTCTGAACTGATATACATATGTAACCGTTGCCGTCGATACCTCGCAGTGGTGAAGTTAATATTGCGTATTGTTGAAATGTACACTTGGTATATACTCGTCATTACTCGTATTTAATTATTTGAGCTGTCATGCTCATATTTCTTTAATATCGTATAATGAAAGCTATTAGTGGTGAGATGTAAATACAAAAAATATATGTATATTAAAATTAATTTAATATATATTTATTTTTTGTGTGCTACTAGTAACTGTATTATCCAACTAGGACGAATTTGTGTATTTTATTTTACTTGCTCATTCTGTTCACTGAGGTTTGGTTTGAAAATGAATTACAATAAAGTCATGTAATGGAACTACAGCGCGATATTGGTGTACAAGTTGTAACAAAGTATGTAAGTAATGTACAGATTAGCCACGTGGTCTCTACACGGACAAACCATATAATACGACACACCAAATGAACTGTACGGAAGCTTTCAACCCCATTTGGTGAGCTCACAAATCCTAGACGAAAAACATTACTGCCTAACGTCGGTAACGTCCGCTTTCGAAACTTGCTTGTTCATTTTATTTTATTTTACTTACGTGCTGTATTTACTTTCTGCCGACATTATAAGAATTTCGGTATAACTTTCAACTGAGGTAGACTTTGAAAAAAGTTCTCTGCGTGGGTACGTCAGTCTACTTTACAATCAGCCGCCAAACACCTTGCTTTGATTGGTTACCACTCACCATCAGGTGCGTTGTCAGTCATCAGCTTATTTGCTATTTTTACATAAAAAAAATATATTTTTTATCTTTATTTCTAATTGTATTTTATGTACGAAAATTAATTCGTTTTACTCAAGATATTAGTAAAGTTTGACACAATGTCGCAATGATATTTTTGACCAGTCCAAATATTTTTACACAATTATTATATATGTATATGTACTTTGTGTATGAGGTGTATAATATATAGTTAGTGTTTATATTTTATTATTAAGACTCTTATTCATTAAAGGTATAACTGCTCACAAACAGAGCTCAACTATTATGGATCTATTTTTTGCAGTTTATAATTGAAAACTGTTACTCATCTGAAATTTTTAGATATAATTAAATTCTTATTCAACTAGTACGTTTAGTTTATAATAAACTAGCTACTTGCCCCAGCTTCGCCCAGATGTACATGTATTATACCTTACCGTACCTTTTTCTAGAATCACTCTATATATTTAAAAAAACCGTTTCAAAATCCGTTGCGTATTTTTAAAGATTTAAGCATACATAGGGACGGACAGACAGCGATAGCGACTTTATTTTATACTATGTAATGTTATGTAATGGTTTAAAAAAATTACTCTTGCGACTTAGTATCAGAATTTCAGTGACAATAAAAATTGCCGTAAGGTTATATAAGCGCACAGCGAAAACTAAATATGAGGACTAAAAATAAGGTGAGCACCTTACGAGCAACGTCTGAAAGAGCTATCAAATTTTAAACACAATTAAATAATTTTATGAGTAATTCTGTGTGATCATTCAAATAACAACTCCATTGCATCTCAAGTCTCAAACAGAAGATTATATCAAATCATCTCGTTCTCTTTTGCAACAGTCGGTACAATCTGTTTCAAAATGGTACATTCTCATATGATAGATTGCCTAATTGCTTTAGAAAAATGTCCATTCAAATCTTAGCTTCTGATTTATCTATTGTATATAATGTTATTAAGTATAGCGTATTTATAAATTAATAAAATATACTTACAAAAAATATTAGCAATACACTATACATACGATACATACATATACGATACAAACCTAATGACTCATTTATAAATATATAGGTCCTTATTTTTACATTACAAATTTTTATATAGGTATTACACATTTATATACATAATGCTTATAATTAAATAATATCGTATATGCTATTACTATCAACAAATGTTTGTCATGGCTTAATAAAAAAAGTCAAGTGTATATTGATCCTATACCAAAACTACTATGTTTTTAAAATCACTGACATACCCGGTTTCTAGTAGTTATGCGTATATTATAAGATTATAAAACACTGCCGTTGAAAACCTGCTCAATTTCAAAATTATTATATATTTAGGTTTATACCTACAGCTGTAGTATAATTCAACTAGACGTCCTGAATATAATATCTTATTGATGGTCAAAGCCATGAGCCTGAGAGCCTTAGGGATTTGTATATATCGTTTGTCAGTGGCCAGGGCAGGCCATTGCCATACACAATGGCCACTCTCGGGACATGCGTATTTCTGTTGCCATAGTTCTGTCTATCGATGATATTACAAGATAAAGATTGCATACTGATTTTAAATTAAGAAATTAATATAAATTCTGCTTCTTTGGGTAATACAAACACTTAGAACTAATGCCCATCGTGCACACTCCCAGCTCTTTTTTATTACCTTTTCCTACTCACACCATCTTTAAAGACCAACAACTTACCTGCAGTGAGTGTAATATGTGTTCTGATGGGCGGTCTTAATTACTTACGATCAGGTGTGCGGGAAACGCGTTTGCCCTTTACACTATAAAAAAGCTGAAATTTAATTTAATTTAATTTTGTGATTTATTTATTTATTTCAGGTAATGTTTTTTACATTGTATGATAAATGTACGAGTACACACAATCGGATATAAATAGAATAATAACGCAAGAGAATGAAATTAGGTAAAATAGCCTATCGCGACAAATTCACCAGGCCTGAAGTGCGCTAGTGTTCTTGAAAGACCACGTGGAGAGGTCGATACCTTATAGGCTACATTGAGGAATGAACAATGAGGAAGCATTCCCTTGAGGAGAAGTGAATGTTCCCTAATATTTAAATGCTAAATTCTTCTCATTTTAATGACGATTAGATATGTGTGAACCCTGGTGTTTAATTATGCGTGTATTATATCACTATTTGTAGGAATACCAAAAAAAACCTTAAAAAAAATACCTTGAATATTTAATTTTTTTTTTTTATTAATTAAATTTATCAGTCTAAATCAAAAAACAATTTTACATAATAACAATGGGATATTTATACAACAAATGTGAAACTTAATATTTTGTTGTTAAAAAATATGTTATTCCCGAATACAGAACAGAGTCAATGTTTATGTATATGTTGTACAAAGGATAAGTATTTAAGTCTATAGAAGGAAATATCAGAGGACCCATATCATTTTTGCAAGTGATTGGCGGACGCGAAAAAGGCGTTCGCAAATGATGACCCTCATCATTTCTAGTTGCCTCCCATCTTTCTGGATCTCTTGTGATGATACAAAAACTCTCAACTTAGTAACCACATTCAATTGAAACGCCTACACTTACGTAAATAGAAAAGTAATATTAATGATCTACATATGTCTGAGTTTGTTTTAGATGATGTTATTAATTAATTTACATTATCATATATTTTAATAATACTATACAACAACAATAAACGAAGTATAAACTAATTTAAGATACTTTTAGATTCAAATTACAAAAACGGTACCAAACTATTAAATTAGAAAACAAACTTATTTTTGTTTTAAAGAAACACAAAGTAATTTTACATTTATATACATTATTTGAAAAAGTAATAAAAGCTTTTCCTTGTTACAGATAACATTTCCTCGTCATACAAATATTCTATAATAGGTTACATGAAGCTCCTTCTATCCCAGTTCGTCTATTAATACAAAACACCACCGTAAATTAGTGCCTCTAGTTTAGAAGACAAAAAAGCCAAATAACATAATATAAGTGTCGTAGTGCCAATGTTGAAGAAGTGTTGATTAATAATAAGTATAAAAAACAATAGTGAAAATGCTGCCAGTGCCGCAGGATCGTTTGTCTGGGAGACGAAGCAGTTCCATCGTCAGTCGTACTCTCCTTGGTCGGCGGGCTTCCGTTTACGTTACTGGCAATCAACAGGACCCTGCAAAGGTTAGTATTTTTATATGACAAATATTATTTTTCTAATTAAGCTCGTTCATATACTGGTAATATTTTTTTAAAGTACGTTTTCACTTTATACACACCATAATATTAAGAATGATCAAAATAATATCAGGCGATATTAATGAAATTTTACGTAATTAGTTAATATATGTACATACATACATAAATCTTAATAAACATACTACAATATGAAATTGTATAATGTTCTCAATAACATCTGTTGTAGTTAAGTTAAAGGTACAATTTTTTTTTATATCATGCAATCAGTCGTCCAGACTATAAGTAGATTTGTTGACTATCTGATATCGTGAGAGGTGATTCTCCATTGAGAATGCCTCAGATATTCCAGCTTATGCCAGGTTGTTGAAGTCTGGTATTTTACGTCTCTTAAGACGTGCCATATAATTAGGCAACGTCAGTTAAACAGCAAGTTTATTTGGATGTCTGTCCAGCTTGATTTTATATTTTTTTATTGTTTGAGAGATTTCCTCCTTGACAGAGTTGATCCCCAGGTGGTGATGAACCTCCGAGTTACGAATAAACCAGGGTGCGTTACAGGTTTGCATGTAGTTTTGAGCTCTTTGAATTTTGTTGATGTTGGTAACACTTGCAGAACCCCACAGCTGGAGCTCATACGTCCAGATTGGCTTAAGGATTGTCTTGTATATGAATAGCTTATTGTCAGTAGACAGCTTTGAGTTTCTTCCAAGCAGCCATTGCATTTCTCTATATTTGATATTAATCTCATCTCTTTTAGCTTGGATGTGCTTAGACCAAGTGAGTCGACGATCAAGATGCATACCCAGGTATTTCACAGTTTCACTAGTGGGAAGTGTGCTCGAACCCATCATCACGGATGTAGTTGCCTTTTCTAAGGGTGAAAGTTATGTGAACTGATTTTGAGGCGCTGAATTTAATTTTCCATTGCTTTAACCACAGACCAATCTTTGTGAGAGCATTTTGTAACAGATCTGTAGCCTCCACTTGATTTTTACTACAAGCTAAGATGGCTGTATCATCTGCAAAGGAGGCTACGATTGTTCCCTGTGTTTCCGGAATATCTGCTGTGAAGATACTATATAGTAGTGGACCAAGTACGGAGCCTTGTGGCACCCCAGCCAGAACTTCGTAAAATGCCGAGGTGTACTCTCTCCTTTACTTGGAAGATACTTTCTCTGAGATAAGACTCCATTAGCCTATATAGATTATATGGGAGGAGGTTCTTGATTTTATAGAGTAAGCCTTCATGCCAAACTTTATCGAATGCTTGCTGTACATCTATAAATGCTGCGGAGCAATACTCTTTACGCTCAAACGCATCTCGAACAACCTTACACACTCTATGAACAAATTTAATATTGTAATATTTTTTATATATATAATAGGTAACTTTTGACGTGAAGCGGTATATAATTTAGTGGTGTTTGATATAATTAAAACTTCGCTGTCATAGTCGTTGTAACAGTTTAAACAAGATATAGAGAATAGCCTTCCAGCAGTGTTTCCAGGAAATATCTGATAAGTGCGGCCGAGCCAAATCAACTCAATACACGGTCCAACTAACCTCAGAGATGCGGGAAATGTGTTAGAATATTTTTTGCCATGAAGGAATGTCAAAAGATCTGTTTTTCCATCCCTAAATCCCCAACGAGTCTTCTATTTGGCTTATATTTATTTTACAAAGAAATTTATCTATTTAATTTGTTTATTTCAAGCACCGCTTGGCACCGACCGTGAACTAATCTCCAGGTCTTAGTAATAGTAATATAATACAAATTTTAAAATGAACTCCTTATTAATTTTCTCAAGAGATATAGAATTCTTCAAGGAGAACATTAAATTTATTATTTTTATATTTCGTGTTTTATACATGTAAACTATATACTTAATCGAATTTTAACCCGAATAAATGCATAGTAAATATAGATTAATTCTCTCGACTTTTCGACTAGGTTCCACTTGCAGTGACCACGAGCTGATTGCAGTACAGCTATGTCAATATCTACTACCGTCGCTAGATTGGAACTTTGTTTAAACTTATTTATCAGTGTATTCCACGCAGAAGTTTATATTCCATACAGTAGTTATCATTTACGATTCAAGACCCGATTTAATAATGCATAAATAAACCATAAAATGGTCTCTTGCGACGCAATAATCATTTAAAATATGGTTTAATATTTAAATAGAAAATCGTTCATCCATTTGGTACCAATATATATTCTTTTATCAGTTGTATCTCTTATTTGTTATATTATGTAGGTTTATAAACAGTACTCGGTATTTTGTTTCTTACTTAAATTGATACACTGAACCAAAAAATAACTGTGTTACCCAGAAATAAAAAAAAACCCTTCTATTTCCATGAGTGAATTGTAATTTCCACGCCCGTCGTATACTGTCAACCTGATTAACAGGTAAATGCAGATTTTAGAAATCGACCAAACTAAAGTTATTCGCAAAGTAAGTAACTATTAGGTATATCATTATTTTTGAAACTGTTACGTTTGAAAAAGTAAAATACGATCGTAAAGTTAAAAAGTACAAAGACAACACTATAGTTTTTAGGAATTGCAACATGCATCTCTAATCAACCGATTTGATATTTTTTTTATTATTTGAAAGTTATATGATGAAATTTATATGGCATATGAATTAAATAGTAATTTAAAAGATTTAATTTATATTTCGGTCCCTTGATACTAATTAATAATGGCTTAATGCAATAAATAACTAAAACTCACGCAAATAGTTACAATGAAATGTAAATTAATATGCTAAACATAGTTCACTAACACAACTAGCTGATGGCTGTACCATTAGTATGTTTTGCAATGAGTCTATTTTATAACCTCTAGTTTCACACAAAAAACGATAAAGTATTTATATCTACTACTGAACCTGGGTCCATTCCTACTTTTATTGTAATATGCGTATGTCTTAGTAATAAGTATATACATGGTTTTCCATTTTATCTATTTCTTCTTCTAACATGTATATACATATAGGAAAAACATAATTAATAGAATTGTTTTCCGCATAGTTACTAAGACTATTTTATAGAAGTTTGTACTCGAACCTAACGCTACAAACACTGAATTTTTTGTCAATTCCAAGCTATAGTAGAACTGTTTCTACTAACACCAATGGACGGGTATATTTTTATAGGCTGGTCAAACTGATGACTACAATCTCTCGGGTAACGTTAAAACAAATCGGCAGTTTTGTCTTCCCAAGAATTGTATTTTTTGTGTCGCCTTGTACATTTGTTGTTCATATATATCTAGTTGTACTACATAGAATTTGAAAAGACTGCAATTCATAAACACCTGCAAATAAAGAATTTTCCAGATTTTTATCCCAGATTGGGAACCATTCTAACATGTGACTACAAACTGAAAAACTACATGCATACTTTGTGCCATATGATAGTATAACAAGTCATGACAAAGTTAAGTAACCTATAACTAGACTAGCCTTGTACAAAGTCTTCGCTGGACAATTACTATGATAATGAAGGAAGCGAAGAGCGCTACTTATTTATAATTTTACAGACAACTAATTTTAGTCTATTTACTTTTATTTTATCCTATAGTAAAAAGCAATTAATTCAAACTAAAACAAAAATCTTGAGTAGTATTCGTTTATTTATGATAATTTGAAACTAACTCGTTACTTTATTCACATACGCGTGCATTTAAAAGGTAGGGTACCGTAGTTTTATCCTTTTAAACAGTGTGAAATCACAGCTCCGAAATGAGATCGAATGAATTATTTATACTGTCGATAGCTCGAGAGTTTCTCCAGCGATCAGGTTACCGAAGTCAGTTGGTAACAGCTGAGCGGAATTTGCATTATAAATCGTCGATAACATTCGGCAAATTGGTCTATTCAGACACGAGTGGATTAGGATGAGACGTTTTCAATTTGTATAACTAATAAATAAATGATGACACGTACATGGGGTAAGTACTCTATTTAATGCCTAATATAATTAATTGAGCACTACTTAATAAAATTAATGTAAAATAATGTTTACAGAATTCTTAATTAGAGTAAAGATAAATATGCAAATAAGGGTTACACCGAACAGCTCCCAGACGTAAAATTATTTACGGAACATTAACATTAGCAAATATTGTACAAAAAGATTACTTGTGAGATATTGTAGTCTATCAAATATTGTACATGCAATAAAACCTTTTAATAAAACTTTTTAAATTCATGTGAAATCAGCTAAAATGTTTATGTTTATATCGTAAAGATGCACGATACTTATATTGCATCTTATTATCCTATTTTATTCAAAAATCTTTAGCTATTTATGCATCATTGGCCGCTTGTAGATATTATGAGACAACTATAACAATAGTCAAGATGTTTCAATATGCAGTTACAATTTATTTGGCATCTTTCCACTAGAAATAATATCATTATGGCGTACTACAAAAAACTTGGTTTATGATTCTTACTGAATGATAGTGTTTATAAATGTAGTAAACATTTAACGATTTATTTCCGTCTCTCATAAAGTGTTTGGGTAGAGATAGACAGTGCACTGTTCTTTCATATGAATACGAAAATATTGATGTTCAAATATTTTTAGACTTTAATGACTAAATTGCATTAGTTTCATGTAGTTTAAAACATTATATCTTATTTCATAGCAAGTCAAACATTAATATGCATCAGAAGTGAGTCCAATCAAACCAGATATATTATTAAATATCTATTTATAATTTGCAAGGGTACATTTGTGATCCGCCATTATGTACACAACCGGAGCAAGAGAGTGATAGCACTGGCTGTCTTATTTCCCATAATATGTCTAATTTTAAATCTTAAAGAAATCGACTGCATTGCAAATCAATTATGCGATGCCATTTCAGAGGGCTAAGATATGATACTGTTACGTCCTGGATAGCCAATGAAACTAGTGGACTCTATTAATAGGTTTAATATAAAAACTGTTATGAACAAAGGAC